CCACACATCCCCATATTTGGCATGATTATATTTAAATATATCTATTATTACATTCATTTAAAGACAGAATCGTTCCTTGCTTTGGGAAGCGCCTCTCTTCTGGGGAATGTCGATTTATGTAAAGGGTTTAAAGGTCATAGACCCAGAACACAGAAATGGACTCATAATGAACTAATTCCAGACCAACTGAAGCAGAATGCAATAATGAGAATGTATGCAGTCAGCCATTATTTCTAATAGGATTAATTCATTGAAGATCGTTTCTGGATGCTTACCTCAACCTTTTGGAAACAACTCTTAGATGCTCAGCTCCATTCAGGTGTTTGTTTATTCTACATTTTCAACTTTGTTTAGAGTCCATCAACAAAATCTCCAAGCCTATAAATCCCTGCTGCAGCAACGAGCCTCCATGCTTCTCTAAATGTGTTGGGGAAGAAGCGGCGTTCATCCTTGACAGGCTGCCAGTCCATCACACTAACACACAGAGACAGACAGCGGGTCGGAACCAGGAGTCGTCTCGCTGCAAGGTGACAGGGCTAACCAGTTCACCAGCGCCGCTCCTTTACCCTGATGAATCAAACAGAAACTGACTCAACACAGGAGCTCAGGGATTTATCACTTTCCTCCGAACTTAATGGGATGTTATGAGGATTATTTTTCAATCTGCGGATCTGCATTTTCATTTTCTATGTTCTGCTGTAGCAGAAAGGTCTCCTACTTGGTCCAGAACAGAAAAGACACTCTGGGAAAATGATGGATGAAAGCTGCTGCCAGGTGTCATATTTCTGAAAGCTAAAAGTTGGAACCATCTCCACGTTTTCTACAGGCACATCTTTCATTTATGATGCCGTATTAGGGCCATTGTAGATTAAAAATAGTTAACATTTCTGCCAAAAAAACCCTCAAATTTTGAGATTAATCTTTGAAATGTTGTAGAAAAAATCTTGAAAATTTCTTGAGCTCCAAAAGTAAAAAAATTTGCTCTAAAAAAAATCATCACTTTGAGCTTTATCTCATAAATTTGAGGGGGGAAAAAAACTTAAAAATGTTTGAAAAGTCAAAGATTTTCAAGAAAAATTTAAAATTTTGAGCTTACTCAAAAATGTTCCAGAAAAAAACTTGACATTTTCAGAGTTTGAAAAGTTAAACATTTGTTAAAACGAATAAGAAATTTTCAGAGTAATCTATAAAAACGTAGAAATTTCTGAGCATGAAAATTCTAAAATTTGTGAGGAAAAAAAAGACATTTTTTTTTTTTTAGATTAATGTCAAAAATTTAAAAAAGTGGAAATCTCTGAACTCCAAGAGCAGAACATTTATTAGAAAAAAAAAACTTGGAAATGTTTAAGTTTGAAAAGTCAAAAACTTGTGAATAAAACCTCAAATTTCGAGGTTACGCTCAGAAATGTTCTAGAAAAAAAACAGAAAATGTCCGAGTTTGAATAGTCAAACATTTTCTAAAACAAATCATAAATTTTGATATTTGAAATTTACTAGAAAACTTGGAAGTTTCTGAAATTTAAAAGTTGAAAATTTGCTAATAAAAACTCAGAAATTCTAAGCTTAATCTTAAGCATTTAAAAAAAAAACTCAAATCTTTGACTTTTGGAAAAACGCTGACGTCTCTTCTGATGTCTGATGATGAACATTCCTGCCGTGGATGAAATATTAACATCTACTGTAATGATTTTTAATGACTTATCTCATGAAGAAACTTATTCATGTGTGATTTTTATTCCATTTCTTATTTAATTCAAACACCGCAATTGTAACATTTTGTTTATTTTATTTTATTTTTTTTACATCGGCAGAACATTGAAAAACTTTTGCTCTCATTTGTAATGGAAACGCAGCAAAAAATGATCCAGAAAGTAGAATTACATATAAATTTAAACTTTCAGCATCTCTGGTTGGCCTGACAACCTGTTACCGCGGCAATGGACCGAAACTATTGCACAGGATTGTATCATAGCTCCCGTCAAACGTGTGCATCGGCTCCCTTTCTCTGGATTTACGTCGACTGTCAAGCTTTCATGCACCTGTAAATCACCTGAACTGTACAACACTTTCCTCCACTTAATTTAATTAACGATTGGAGCGGCAGAAACCCTGGAAGGAGCTGAGCGCGGCATGAATCTCTTCTGGCTGGACGTTTCCCGCCTCCGTTATAGATATGCGAGTTTGTGCATTTGGGAGCAAAAAGGTCTGACTCACTGAATGTTGTTGCAGCTGATTGTAGCAGTATTCAGACAGACACTCGGTTTTTTTATTACCGTTTTATAACCTACTCTGTCGCGTCTCATCCCATCCTGTCCCTCGGCGCTGCAGGAATTAATTAATCTAATAATTTAGAGACTCTCTCTTGATTGAAAAATTATTTCTTAGAATTACTACAATAATTACTTGGCAGTATCACCCTGTTTGTGTGTCGGTGTGAGTTTTTCCGTCTCGCTCCTTCCAATCTTCAGTCTGCGTCCCCAGAGGACAGCAGCCGGCCTAGACTAATTTTTTTTGTTCAGCAGTGACACACTTTGGTCTATATTTCATGTCACTTTGACTAAACTGCCCCACCATTGAGATGTCCACATTAAAGCTTGATGCACTCCTCTTGTATGGATTCGGCTGCCATGCCAGCAGAGCACTTTGCCTTGAGAGAGAAATTAAACCCCCGAGGTTGTTCTAAGAAAGATTAAATGGGGAAGGGGGGCGAGAGAGAGGGAGAGGGAGAGCTCGACTCATGGGAGGGGCGCTACCCAAATATAGAGAAACCTGCCAAATGGCAACAGGGCGTGGGCGAAGAGGCTGGCCTCTGCTGATGTGCATGTCTGTATATGTGGGTGTGAGCTTGAATATGTTATGAGGGGTTTCTTTTCTAGAGAAAAAAAAATGTCACACACATGCGCGAGTCTTTCTGCACGTGTTGATCACATGCAAAAAAGATGCAAAACATTTTAAAAAATAAACACACCCTTCTTCAGGTCTAATAACAGTTAATGACAGGCCCACTTCTTGCCCAGTGGGAAGGTAAAATGACATTTTTAATGCTCTCCAGTCATTTTTTCTTTATTTTACCGAGTTTCTGTGCTGCGTTTGGCGTAGCTAGCTAATCACAGCATCCTGACTGACAGATTGGAAAATGGCCAGGATTGTCCAGGACTGCATTAAACTGGATCAGATCTTCTTTGACAGAACTGTGTGACTTTTTGTCATTTGGAAGATAAAGATCTGAATCAAGAATCATATTAGGAGTTCCTCAAGGCACCGTACTCGGCCATTTCTATTCAACATTTGTATAATTTAATTAGCTTAGATTACAGAGCACAACAACGTCTCTTAGAATATCTACACACAAAACACACAATTTTATATTTCTGTGACACCTAGGGTTGGACATTTATCGTATTGTTCATCGTTTATCGTGATAAATTTCTTAAGAATTTTGATTTATCGAGTCACATTAAATTCCAATCAATGATGCTTAAACTCCCTGAAACTCTCCTTACAGTCAGGATTAATTGTTCCTAGTTTCTCCAGTGTTTCGTCAATGAAAGCATCAATAATTCAAAAATCCAATTTAGTGACACAAATCACATTTCTTCATGACGGATGCCCAAAAAATGAGTTTGTTTGGAAGTTAAAAATCTGAATCATCAGGGATCATATCAGGGGTTCCTCAAGGTACGACTCTGGGGCCGCTTTTATTCAACATTTATGTAATTTAATTGGCTTAGATTATGAAGCACTACAACGACTCTCAGAATATCTACACCCATAGCAAGGCTTTATATTTCAGTGACACCTGGGGCTGGACATTTATCGTATCGTTTATTAGTCGTTGCGATAAATTTCTCATAAGAAAACAAACCACACGTTGCAATTTTGGTCCCCAGTCAAAGTCAGGTGTGAAAACATCCTTAAAGTGAGACATGTTATGTTTATTATTAATAATCTGTTGAGCTTTTCTGTTCATCTGAGTTTAGAATCAAATAAATAACCTGTTAAGGCTTTTTTTTTTTCATTTTTTGTGTCGGATATTTTCATGTTGCAACTTCAAGAAAGCAACAGAAGGAAAAATGAAGCAGTAAACAAAAAGTTTACACGGAAGAGCGGATGAAAGGAACTAGAAAAGGGAAGTGTTTCAAAACTCAGAGCAGAGAGAAAAGGTTTGTTTGTTGCATCTCATGTTTGGTTACTCAAGCTAATGAGCGGCAATTAGACGGCTGCCAATTAACTCTGCCCATCAGACTGAGACGGAGGTAAACGAAAGCAGAGACGTGAGGGAAGAAGTTGGAGGTTGTGGGGAACGAGGGAATAGTTAAACGACCCGGGAATCACAGGCGGTGTTTTCTTCAAGGGATGTTCATGCGTGCATTTGCATGCAAATGAGGCGGGTGTGCATACAGATGGGGCTGTGTGCGTGTATCCGTGTTCCAGCAGAGGGAGCTGTGTAGACCCATGTCGCCGTTAGTGCTCTACATGACCATCTGGCTCTCACCGGCAGGCTGAACCTAAAGTTAACCCCCTCACTGCCGGAGTCTGCTCCACCTATGTGGAATAAAAATAGACCAGAATGTCTGAGGAAGCATTCGGACAGATATTTACCTGCTTTTCAGATGTTTTATGCAAGTTCCTGATCACTTATTGACCAATAATCGGGGATATGAATGGGTGCTGAGTGGCTCTGAATCTTTTCTGGCAGAATGTTTGCTGACCAGATTGTGTGTGCGCTTCAGGCAGCGGAGGCAAGAAAGCAAATGGTTAATTTCTCATTCTGACTGCTGATGCAGTGTTCCAGCTGAACCCATCAGAGAGCCTTTCACTCACTCACTCACTCACACACTCACTCACACACTCTCTCTCACACATACACACACACACACTGTAGCGTAGAGCGCTCGTCATTCTTCTGAGTAGCCCGCTGACCCCGCTTTAATTAGGCTAATTGAAATGGGAGAATAACCATTTTCCTGATTGCTGTTTCTTTTCTTTTTTCTGGACAGTTTAAAATGAAAAGCATGCTTACACAACCAGAAGCCCCTGAGAGTTGGATGACATGATGACCCTGTTGCTCGGTGCGGAAGACTTTTGGCCGCTGCTCTCTGGATCTGGAGGCGTAATTCCTGTCCGTCTGGCAGTCGTTTTGACCGCCATGCATTTGTCTTCTGACATATTCTGGCTTTGTCCACTGCAGTCCAGCTTAGGTAATACATAATTAGCCTGACGCTAACAAACATGTGCTGAGAGTAAATGCGTTCAGACGAACGCTTTCATTATTTTCTTATTATTTCAATCCATACATCCATCCATTTTTCAAGGTAGAGTATCCAAAAACTGTAGCACAACCTCAACAAAATTTTATTCAAGTAAAAATTAGCCGTCAGATAAATTACTCTAGAGTAAAAAAGTATTTGGTAAAAAGGCTAACCAAGTACTGAGTAACTGATCAAAACATTAATCACATAATATTTAAAAATTACATCATCAGATGGACCAAAATATAAAGTTATGTGGACATTTTGACATTTTAAAAGGTCAAATACATACAACGACCTTGATGTAGTTGTTTTGTTGTAAAGATTTTGTGGCTACTAAAACTTTTACAACCATTAAGAATAGTTTGAAATACTTATTAATACAAAATATTAAGCATTTTGATCAAACAAAGTTTATTTCCTTAGGGGTCATTCAGGTGAGCTTGCCATAAGTATGCAGGCAGAGCTTATTTTAGCTTAGCTTAGCTTAGCGGATTTTAGCTTAGCTTATTTTGTCTGATCTTATGTTGTTTTATTAGTTTGTCTTGTTGATCTTGACTTATTGCAGCTGTGTGTGCTTCATGCTGGGTTGATTTATCTTAGTTTAGCTGATATGCTCTGATTCCATCTTCTACCAGCTGATCTTAGCTTAATTTATCTGATCTTATTTTACCTGGGAAATCCATAGATAACCTTCATTTATCTTAATTTCTCACAAACCTATTTTTACTCAAGTAAATAATTCCATTTAAAAAATTATTAAAAAGACTTTCCTGTCTTCTTTTCTCAGTGAACAAACTAGTGAATTATTCCCACCTGTTGGACTGGAGTAAAACTGCAGACCTAAACATGATCGGGTTCGGGACCCTAAAGCGCCATCCGTTAAACTGGCTTCACTCCAGCCGCGTTGCTGTCTTGAAACCTTATTGTTGAAGACTTATTGGTGATCTGTGGATTGGATGCTAAATAAATCTCTGCTCGGTGCTTCAGACTCCCTTCACCATTTCAGTTATTGCCTCTGCATTTCCAGGGAGACTTTCTCTCTCCAGAAGGTTCAGTCGTAAACAACTATCAGAATTTTCCAGAGATCCTGATGACAAATTGGTGGCTGGTCTGCTTTTTCCTATCTGGAAATCAATGAGTCTGCCCTACTGGACTGCAGCTCTGACCGGGTCGCCTCCAGAACAAATGTGAAAGAAACAAGTTGGCTTGGATGAAAAAAAAAAAGACCCGGGGCTGAAACGATTAATCGAATTAATCGCGATTAATCGATTATTAAAGTAATTGTCAACTGATTTAGTAATCGATTAATTGTTAACTGAAATATACAGACTCAAAAACAGGTAATTTTCTGAAAGAACATCACACTCTGAGCTTTAATTAAGCCAAAACTGTACAAAAATATACACAATTTTTATTTAAGATATTAAAAAAACCTTTGTAAATATATTCTGCCCAGAATATAACTATCCTCAAGTGGCATAGTTTTAGCTTCACCCGGGACAAACTGAAAAATAAAATCTATTAACAGGCACATTTTGCATCCAGTTATTAATCAGTTAATCCAAGAACAGAGCAGAATGCACTGAGCTTTTCACACTAAAGGAAAAAGCTACGTTGTTGCATTTTCTTTTTTAAAAATTAGTTCAAATGTTTCTTTTATGCATTTCTAATATTGCATAAAATTAGCTTAAGTGGTTAAACAAAAAATCTGTCAAATGTGCCAAATTTTTTCATTTGATTAATCAATTAATCGTCAAAATAAATAATTACTAAAATAATTATCTACAGCCCCACTTATTAGGCAACATCCTGCAATTTTAGACATGATTTTTTTTAACTGCAGATGCATCCTTTGCTATATTTTAGGCAAGAAAATGTTTTTTTGTTTGAATTTATTTGAATAAATGCAGTAGAATTATTTGTTTATCTGCATCTTTTAATTAATTTCTAATATTGTATGAAAAGGGCTTAAATGGTTACATGAAAAATATGGACTTTAAAAAAAATCTGATTAATCAATTAATCGTCAGAATAAATGATGAGTTGTTAAAATAATTAACAGATTAATTGATAATTAAACTAATTGTTATTTGCAGCGCTAAAAGATTTAAATATTCCTGTGCACACAGTGAGACGACTGGCCTGAGAAAAGGTTTGCTTGTTGCGCGTCTGAAGGTTTCGTCTTACCTTCAGCACAAACACAGGCAGGCCGTCCTTCAGAGGCAGCTGCTGCAACAGCAGACACAGCTAATCACCTCGTCGTATAATTTTAAACATTTATTAAATGTCCACATTATCCACATATGAAGTCATTTGCCCCTGGGGATCTATGTGATTTCCTCATTAACTTCTCGAAATGTAATGAGTCACGGAACCGAGTTCTGTGGCTCTATTAATTATTACCCGTCGCACAAGCTGCTCACCATGGCAACCCGAAGTTCTGCCTGTCACCACGCAAAAGACGAGGGTATGAAGAGGTTTTTTTACATCATGCAGCCGGCAGAAACGTCTCTCCCCTCAGTCAGGCCTGCTGGAGTCGGTGGCGCTGATCTTTTAGCTCCCTCTGCTGAGGATTACCGGTAGATCCTCCTTCAGGAGCCGAGAAATGTGAACCAGCACTGCAAAAACACAAAGTCTTACTGAGTATGCTTCTCTAGTTTCTTGTGCAAATAGCTTATTATACTTGCAATAAGACAAAACTAACATACAACTGACTTCTCAGAAAGCCAAAGGAGCATATTTTAAGTCAATGACTATTTCACTTATAACATGACATTCTTGCCATATTTTAAGTTAAATAATCTTCCAGTGGAACAAGTTGTTTTTAAAATCAACATTAAAGAATTTTTGACTCAAAACAAGCATCTATATCTTTCAGAGAAGTTACTTCTGAATTAGTTTTGTCTTATTTCAAGAACTAAGAGATTTGCATTGGAAACTAGACAAAAATACTTCATAAAATGTTGTGTTTTTGCAGTGCATTGCAGAAATACTGAATACTTATTTATCTTTTTCACAAGTACTTCAAATACAAACGCAAAGTTATGATAGTCAAACAAAAGACAGTTTGTTTGAAATAATAAACTGCAATAAACTTAATTTAGGTTCATTTTTAGAACCACATTTTGCTGCTTTCTTTACAATTCTTTAATTGGATTTAGGGTTTGACTTTGACTGGACCATTGGAACACATGGACATGCTCTAATCTAAGCTAATCAATTAAGTTTATTGATGTAGCACAATTCAGCAACAAGGTAGTTCAAAAAGCTTCACATTATAAAAACGCAAAAAAGTCCTAAAAAAAAAATCATACAGTCAACAATCTAATCTAAGTTCTGATTAACTCTAAATATTCAGGTACACTGCAAAAACACAAAGTCTTACCAAGTATTTTTGGTCTAGTTTTCAGTGCAAATACTTCAGCTAACTTGAAATAAGACAAAAGTCACAAGTAAAGATGTAGGAGCTTGTTTTAAGTTAATTTCTTAATATTGATTTACAAAACTACTAGGTCCAGTGGGAGATTATTTCACTTACAGTAAGTAATTTCCCCCATGCTTTAAGTGAAATTATCTGGTCTATATTCACTATTATTTACTTAAAATAAGCTCCTATACTGAAAAGATACTTGGTTAGATTTGTGTATTGTTGCAGTAAAAAGCAGTGGTATGCAAACCAGACGTGTTTGATAATTTAACGGCTCAACGAACCAGAATCAAGTGATGGTTCATTACCAGAGTGGAGATGCACCACATAACAGGTGTAAGCTAATTTAACATTAACCACCAAAATGAAGTTTACATACAGAATAAAATACATAAGCATACCTTGTGCGCCTTCTTCCCAAACATTTAGGAGATGTTATTGTCCGTATCATCCGTTTTTAAAGATTAAATCCAAGCTAACGTTTCCGCTGGCTATTGTCGGTAGCCTCAGCTAGCATCAGCTAGCATTCATCTCTCCATGTGGTGCGTAAATAGTCACGAATTGGTGCAATACTCAATTCCACCGACATATGTCGGTAATACAACAAGGAAGTTATAGAAAAAGAAAATGTCATTAACTATAAATAAATAAACATTTTTTTCTCTTTGCGACAACTACAAGGAAGTTGCGCTAGTCTTCTTCTGAGGTTTGTTTCCTTCAGTGGTTCTTGGTGCAGCGCCCCCACAGGCGAGGAGGGGAACAGCTTTTTCTATGGGTTTGTTTCATGTGAAAGCGAACCGCAGCAACTGAAAATGTAACAAATATTGCACTTTTGGCCCCCAATTGAACCGACTACACTTTAAAAACACTTTAAACACTTTAAAATCAGCTGCGTTGATTGCTAAATAATTTAGCATGCTAGCTCTAAGAAGCTAACACTTAGACACCAGAGGTTTAAGGTTTAAGCATCTCTACATTTTCTTCCTTTTCTACTTAAAAATACCTTATCAATCCCAGAGAGAAATTAAATGTTTTTACATTGCGGATTCAGAGAAAATGAAAATAAATAAAAATGCAAGGTAGGTTTTTGTACTAAAATACACAAATTAATTAATTAATTTATTAAACCTGCATCCTCAATCACTCTCTAAATAAAAAATTATGATAATAAAGTCATAAAATAAAATAATTCAAACATATAAAACGCTTTTTAGGACACCCATACGCTAATCTGGTGATATGACTTTTTGCATTATGTCAACTTTATTCTCTTAATTTTAAAAATTATTCTCGAAATTTTATTTATTTATTTTTTTTCTTAGTATGGCCCTAATACTGCGTCGTACATCTCTGAAGAAAAGTTTTTATAAATAGCTTTAAGAGCTTGTGTAAAGTTGTGCGTCACAAATGGGGTTCTGGTCGGAGAGTGGGCGTCCACATGTTGACCTCGATGAAATCAGCTATGAAATATCTGCAGCTAAGTGGCATCTAATTGAATATAACGCAGCTATTAGCATGCAAGGTCTTTCTCTCATTATTTCCAGTGACAAACAGGAGCCTGGTAATGGCGTGTTTACATTCTGCCTCCACAATAGAGTGAGGAAGAGTTAATGAGCGGAGAGCGTCGCCGGTTTGCATTGAAAAGTGGTTTATTTACAGCAAATGTCATGATTTTAACTGCAGACGTGTGTTCCTATCGGGGATGCACTTGGCATTTTTCTAGTTTCCTTGTTAACCAGCCGAAGCAGAAAGCTCGCCTTCAGCTCTCAGTAATGTTCTGGAGAAAAAAAGAGACCGAGCGCTGGATTCAGACCAACTTTCTGCATCACCAATTACAGGCTTTGTGTCTAAGTGGCCGAGCGCTGAGGCTGCCAAATAAAAGCTCATGACTTATTCGTCTCTTCTCATCTTGGCCTGTTTTTGCTTTGATATTCATCAAAGCATCAGGAGCAATCGCTTCTCTTAAAAAAAAAAAAAAAAAACGAAGCAGCGCTTCTTTAAAGATGATTACTTTGGAAATAACCTGATCTGTGGACAAACGCCAAAAAAATAAAACCCAGACGTCTTCATAAAGAGCTGGCAGCGCGCTTCACTGCAGAGGGACAAAATTTGGTTCGTCATCCCTCAGAATGTTCTCCTTCTGCTTGCTGGAAGTAAGATAAATGGTGATTTCCTTCAAAGGCACCTTATTTATTCCACCTAAATTAGCTATCCACTGTAGATATATGTTTCTACATGTGAAATAAACATTTTTACAAACTTAAAGGGGAAACCATTTTGCAAAATTCACATTTTGCACATTTTTATACTTCCATTTAGGTCTCAACTGCTTCTAAAACAGGAAAACTGGAAAATGAACAGTTTCAAAAACCTCACGATTTGTTACCCAGCAACCCAAGCAAAGGTCCAAATTTTGGTCAGCTGGTTTAACCGCCGTGTAATGGCTGCTGGAAAAGACCATTTGTCTGTTAACTTACCATCCAGAAACCACTTCCTGCATTCTTGTTGGTTGTGCAGGAGGCCCCACTTCTGCTTTTCAAGATGTATGGTTGTATAATTGTGCATCTGTTTGCAGCCATTTTCAGGTGCAGGTGTAAAGGTTGAGTTGAGAGGGCGTGGCCCTTATTTCATTTATAACATGGGGAAAATATCTTGGTATACGTAAAATAATCTGCAATTGGGGGTGGTACTTTTTTTGTACCAATATTGAGGAATTATTGACAAGCTCCAATATCTTGCAGAAAAGTAAGAAAAGACTTAATTTTGGCCAAAAAAATTAACTTTTTTAAATTATGGATTTTCCAACAAAATCTTTACTAATTTTTGTTGTAAGGCTCATTTAACCTTGTAACAATTAATCATAAGGCTGGAAAATAAATCAATAGCAATATATATTGTGATACAATAATTTTTTATAGCATGTTCAATAATCTCAATGAACTTCAAGCCAGAACCGCAAAGCATTCTGGGGAAAGACTTTAGCCGACTCTCTCACTGCCAGCTAAGCTAGACTGGTGAAATCAACCAACTCACTTGCTCTTTTCTGGTTGCCTAGCAACTCACTCTGTGGTTACCTAGCAACAAACTGTTGAGTAACTTGCGTAGCAGGAGTTTTTCCGCTTAAAAAAAAACAAAAATAAACAGTGTGGAGTGAAAATGTGAAAAAACAGGAAAGGTCACAATCAGTTTGGCTGCATTTCAGATATTTAAAACAAAAAAGTTAATTATGGATATGAAACCCTTATTGTGGTACGCTAAAATCGTCCAGCCCTGATTACGCGTCATCAACGCATTCAAATGAACACGAGTTTCTATGTTCACTCCGCTTTTACCTGAAACTGTGGTGGGGAAAAAAAGGCAACAAAAATGTCTTGAAGTGTGAAAATCCCTTCCAGGGGGAAATCGTCATCTCCATTTCTCCAAACCAAAACAAGCAGCTCTCCTGCGTTTTGCTGGAACTGATGTGAAAGCTGCGTCACTTCGGCTCACCTGAACACCAGCGCGGCAGGTTGCTCTGCTGTGAGATCGTCTGTCTGTGACAAACAGGATCCTGAGGGGACCGACGCCATGACGCTGTCACACACACAATGAACACACCTGCTTCTGTTTTTAGCATCAGAGTTTATTTCCAAAAGACATGAAGGCTGCGAATGTATAATTCTCACATGACAGATAAAAGTACAAACATGTATATATGTATATAGAGGAGTAGCTAAGCAAGGCAAAGGAAGCTTTTAATGAAAGGCGTTTCCTTACTTTGGTAAAGATTGTCTCTGTTTCACAGAATGTCTGAAATATTAGCTTAATCTTGAACACTGTAAAAAATGAAAAACAAATCTTAAAGTATTTTTCTAGTGCAAATATCTTACATGAGAAATAAGAAACTTGCAAAGTAACTTTTCAGCAATAAATGAGCTTTTTAATAAAAGCATTGATTAAAAAGCACTAGTTCAATAGGCAGATTATTTCATTTATAACATGAGAAAAATGTCTTGTTAATCTTTCTGATATGGAATTAATGACTTAAAATAAGCTCATATCTTGCTGAAAAGTTACTTGTGAGTTTATTGTCTTATTTCAAGCTTACTAAGAGATTTGGATGAAAAACTAGAACAAAAAATACTTGGTAAGATTTTGTGTTTTTGGAGAGTACATGACCAAATCCACTCCTAACGTGAAATAATATCAAGTCCTGTCTCCAATTTTTGGCCTTCACTTGATACCAAAATATGAAAAATACTGGTAATATTTTTGGTTTCTGCAGTGAAGAAAAAGCCAGAAATATGTCCGTTAATCTGAGGTCATAGCGATGATTACGCTTTGCAGGCAGCAGGCGACACATTTGGCTTCTTTTCCATGAAGATAAGCGGTGATGGTGGAGCAGATCCTGCCGGGTTGTTGGAGCAATTTGAAGACTGAACGTCAAACTTTACCGTTAAAAATAATCCAGAGATCGAGAGCCTGAGCTTTAGATTCATCTAAACTTTTAACGTGGCACCAAAGATCAAAACGTTTAACAAACGGTTGGCTTTTCACTCGGCTTGCATTACAGTTGAGGCAATGCAGAAATGTTGAGTTTTGCTAATTCTGCACAAAATAATCAGCTAATTTAATTTCATTAAGGTCAAAGAAGCAGGTCACTATTAGCACTGATTAGTCGTGATTAATTGATTAATCGGCATTAAAGACAAACATGAAGGAAGTCCCTTCTAGAAAAGGTTAAAACTTTCATGTTGAAACGTTTAGCTGCACTGAAGGAGATTTTTAGGAAACTACAGAGCAGTGACGTCATTTCTGCAAACTAAGAAAATGTAATCCAAGAAAACCAACATATTCTGCAGGAAGTGCAACAACAAAATGCACAATAAAGTATTTCTGATTTATGGCAAGAAAGATCTAAACTCCCTTTTGAACCTGGGAGCAACTCCAAATGCAGAAAACCAGAATGTGTCGCCATTAATTAGGATTGAGTCCAGAAGTTTCATTTATTATGTCAGAATAACATCATGTATGAAAAAGGCTGAACGCTTCAGGCATCTTTGCTTAAGTTTTGTTTATTTTCTCCTAAAAGTCTTTGGAAACATGAAAAAGTTTGCAATTATTCTTCAGATTACTGTAGAAATCTGCCATGGCTGCTGATTTGGAGACGTTACGGAGAAATAAAGCGATCAGAGAGTTCATATAAAGCTCCATAAAGAAGCTGCAATAATTGGCTCTGGTTTATGTGATTGTTCCTTTGCAAGCAGAGAAGTGGAAAAGTGGAGGTGAAATGCACTTTAGGTATTAAAGCCCCACAAATTAAGACGCACTTAGTGTCACTTCATTGAAGAGTTTTTGTTTTTTACCTGGAGGCTCCAAACGATTTTCACCTTCACTTCTGCAGCAGCTTGAGTTTTAAAAGTAAAGTGAAAAAATGAAACAAGATAAAATCTCAGTCTTGTAGCTTCAATGCCAAACGTTAGCGTGACTTTATACTCCAGCATATAGTTGTCATGGTTACATAAAGGGATCGCTTGCTTGTATGTTTGTCTTAAAACATTCATTAAAAAAAAACGTACAAATCTGTTTGTCAAAACAGGTCAAAGAAGGTTTTCGTGTTTGGAAAACATCTGGGTTTTAATTTTTTAATGTTTCTGCTCAGAACCAGACGCAGCACCAGGTTTTTTTTACCCATTTCCATTCGGTTTGTGGAAACTATACGACCTCCACGTAGTTCGCCGGGTAAAGCCCCTCCCAGCCTTCGTCCTTCTTCCCCCGACACCAACCCTGATCATCCTCATCCTCGATCTTCAGAAACTCCTCACCTGCAGAGGCAGAGAAACTTCTTACACTCATATTCTGGACCGCTTCCTTTAATTTTCATGGATTTATTTAATAAATCTGGTGCAAAAGGGAAACTTTGCACCTTTGTTGCACTTAATTTTATTTAGAGGTGTCAGATTAGATAGAAGGGACTGAAAATGGATCCTTATTACACGGTTAGTAAAAAATATGTTGAAGATTATGAATAGCTTTGCTTCATTTTACACTGAAGTCACTGAAACATGACAGCTTTAGTTAAACGAGTCTCAAATTATTTCCATCTAAAGTTTTAGTCAAAAATTCACAATAATCTGGATTATTCAGCTCATCATAAGAGGAAAAATGAGATTTATCTTCCAAAGTCCTATTGAGAAACAGGACATTGAACTCGTTTATTCATGTCAGTTTCAAACTAAACATTTAATTAACGAGCTAAATATTTAGCTTTAAACTAAAAATCTGGCTTGAGAATTAAATATTCAGTTTTGAAGCTAAACATTTTCCGTATTTTCTGCACTATAAGTCGTACCAGACTATACGGCGCACCGTCGGCTTTTGAGGAAATTGAAGGTTTTTGGGTGCGCCTTATAGTGCGGAAAATACGGTAAATGTTTAGCTTAAAACCAAATATTTTATCTTTAAATATTTTTTAGAAGCTAAATATTTATATTATTTTGTGAGTCTAATGGGTTTAAACTGACATTTAGATAAATATGAACGTATAACATGGTGAAAATATGACTTTAGAAAATTAATCAATATTTGTTTTCTCTTAAATAAATAATCCAAATTATTGCTGCTAATTTTTAAAGTGCGACTTTACAAACGGGACCCCATGGACTAAACTTTTTGTTAACCTCTTTATTGCAACGCGTTCTTAATGAGCAGCAGCCAAGTCGCCATTTTGAAACGGAATGAACCGACTTGGTGTTGCTTTAAACTTCTGCAAGAAGAATCTTATAATCTTTAATTTTTAAAATAAAAAATCGATAAAATAATCAGTTCTTTTAGATTTTTGTGGCTCACCCAGAGCCTGATCTAAAAAGCTTGAAGGTTTTCCATAAAAAGATGTGAAACGTGGCAAATGAAGCTGCTCGTTTACCTGCTTTAAAGGAGAGTTCATCCGTCTCCTGACCAACATAATCGTACAGAGCTCTCACTCTCACGCCGCCAATCATCACACTGACAGGAAGAAACACAAAGTTTGATCACAACAGGCAAAAATAAACTCATACATCCATCTATAGATGGAAAGGTACATGTTTGTACCTTTCCTCCCTCCATCCATCAATCAGTCAGTCCTCCAAACCACCAATCCATCCATCCATCCATCCATCCGTCCGTCCATCCATCCATCAAACCATCCATCCATCCATCAGTCCTCCAAACCACCAATCCATCCTCCAATCCATCCATCCATCCATCCATCAGTCCTCCAAACCACCAATCCATCCATCCATCCATCCATCCGTCCGTCCATCCATCCATCAAACCATCCATCCATCCATCAGTCCTCCAAACCACCAATCCATCCACCCATCCATCCATCCATCCATCCATCCATCCGTCCCCCAAAGTGTCTTTAAATTCCACTTTTTCATTTTATTCAGCAGCTGAACGATTGACCTCAAACATCCAAACTGGTTTTGGCATAAATAAAGTAAACCAACATTATGGTAGATCCGATCTGAACAGGATTAGAGAAATGTCTGGATTAAATTTAAACACCAGGAATATTTGACAGACCAAACAGCTGAATCATGACCCCAACAGATCCACTAACCTCTTCTCTATTGTTCCTTTCTTTTTCTCCACCTCCTTCTTCCCCTTTTTGCTTTTCTTCTTAGGTGAATAATCCTTTGAAAGATTTGAATAAGGTTTAATTTAAAGCCACATAACTGAACTTTGCTGTAAAAGTCA